TTGTATGAGCTTCATGTATGTCGTAATATAAGAAATAATAATAAAATAAAATTTCTAGTTGCTGAAGAAGTCCCAATAAAGGGACGAAACGTCCAACTAAATCAAACATAGTTCTACTTCTTTCATGTCCAAGTTCCCTGTTAAATTTCATCATTAAAAATTGTAATTTTTGGACGAGAGAAATACTAAATAAAAAAAAATTTTTTTTTTGAAAGTCCCAAACCCATGTAACCCCTTAATAAATGTTGACTGTCTTGAGAATCAGCACAAATAATGCATTAAACACAATTATTATTATACAACTCCCTTAATCTGTTGTAAATAAAATTTCAACATAATAAAAAAAATTCACGTTGAGAAGTCATGAGCCAAATATAAACACGTTAATCGAATGATTTTTCGACAAATTTATATTTTCGTAGTGTTCGATCATGAAAATCCCATGAGTACAAATCCCCTAAAGGGTATATTCCACCCTCCTTTTTCTTTAATCCCATTTTACTTCCATAATCACGCGTTCTAATTGTTACACTTCGTATAAATGCATTAGCCTCGTGCATTCGTTTCACGGTTTCCCGGATCTCAACTGGAAGAACTTTTACCCTCACTTTTCGATCCCTCCCGAGACTTTTCTTTCCTTTTAACCAACCTAACTTCAAACTCCTCGGAAAAAGACAAAAAGAAAGAAAGAAAAAAAGAAAGAAAGAGAAATAGACGGAATGATGGGGGTGCGGGGGGGAGAGAAGAGGAGTATAAAAGAGGTGATAAGTTTTTAACGAATTTAAATCACAATTTAAATAGGACTACGTTTCCGAGATCGGGTTCAATTTCTTCATCAAATTATCACGGAAAATAAGAAAAGAAAAGAAAAGAAAAGAACGTGAGTTAGGAAAGTTGACAAATTTTCCCTTTAACGGTTCGTTGATTTTAATGAACACCGGGGGGAGGGAACTCCTTACAATCTATGATTGAAAATGTAAAATTTGAGCCGAAAATTGAACACACTTACACACAGAAATGAGTAGTATACCGCGTGCGTGTATAAAATCGATCGGTTTTTCCGTTCGGAAGGAAAGTGCTCGATTGATTTTTACGATGTCGATGTGGGATGGTTTGAGGGAAAAGAGTGGGGGGAGGGGGTTATAGGAAATTTCAAAGGGAACCCCTTATACGTTCTCCGTTTTTATAGTAAATTTAGTGTCGACCTATGAGTAAAAATAGTCATCGCGACATGTCGTTGTTCGCATTGTCACGTTACCACCACCACCACCACCACCATAGAACAAAAATTCTTCAAATGGCTTCATCATAATCGTAGCATCAACCTTAGATATAAACCCCTTTTTCCTCCGAATCTTTATGGTGCTTCCTAAAATTCTCGAGTATTCCGTCCTTATTTTTCTAACCAAGTATGTCCTTCCTTTGCGTTTGTATGGGAAGTAATACTTGCGAGTATGTGTGTATATTCTACCAAGAAGGATAAAAAGCGTCGAATTCGCGTCTTTCTCGAAAGAACTGTCAAAATATGGGTAGAAACGTAAAAGAAGGGTTGGACATGCTAAGAGAAAAAGAGTAAGATACTATTTCCCTTCTCTTTTCTTCTTTCCATTTCACTCTCTGTCGTTTTATAGCTCGTCCAGCTCTATCATACCTCGTAAAACTACAATAAAAGCACTGTTACGTCTTAGGAAAGCACCCGTTCTAAACCACTGCGTGCACAGCTCCTTAACTGAGAAGAAGAAGAAGAATAAGAAGAGGACGGGGGTGTGGGGAGGGGGAGGGGTGGGAGGGATAAGAGAAAGACAGTGAAGAAAGAGTCATAGAAACGAGTAGGATAGAATATCAAAGTCAAATTGATTCTTTTATGATCAACGAACGTGCTGCTCTCGATTCGTAACATCGACGATTTTCTTATGTACACCCATTACTATGGAATTGATTAATAGTATTTCTTCTTATTTTCTTTTTTTTGTTTTTTTTTTTTTATACACGATGCAATCAAAAATATATAAAGATTATAGAATGTATTAATGAAATTATATATTTTTATGCAACCAGATTTTCGTTTAGATTTATCATTCGAATACGAACGTTAGAATTTTATTAAATCCGAAATTGTTTTACTTTGTAAATATTTTTATTTTACATTTAGAAAAATTCTATGATATATATATATATACTATTAAAAAATGATATTATTACTATATAGATCTACTATATAAAAAATATACCTACCCCATTTATGCAATAAGAATTTTTGACTGATTAAATTTCATGAAAAATTTGACCGATACGTTTAGTGTTAAAACAATACTCGTTATTTAGGGAAAATAATAAATATGTTTTGTCGTTGCAGTACTATCGTTGAGAAATACGCAAGAAGAGGAACCACCGGATCCACAATTAATGAGGCTGGATAATATGTTGATTGCCGAGGGTGTGGCAGGTCCAGAAAAAGGGGGTGGTGCGGGGGCTGCGGCATCGGCATCGGCAGCTGCTGCTGCTGGACCACCTGGACAACCTGATAACGCGATCGAACATTCGGATTACCGAGCGAAACTTGCTCAGATCAGGCAAATCTATCATCAGGAACTCGAAAAATACGAGCAGGTTTGTTCTTCCTTATGCTTTCATCTTAACCCTCTATGGGCCGAATTTTTGGTTATAAATAAACAAAAATAATTGCAACTGAAAATCTTAACAATTATAAACATATATATGCAGATGAAAGAACAAATTTTTCGGTTTAAACAATTTTATTACAATAAATTTACTGTGTAACATTCAGGTAACAACGGCCCATAATGTTTCCACTTCTACGTAGACAAATTGAAACGTGAAATTCTACGAAGTATTTTTCACCTGACGTTAAACGTAAATGTATATTGCATTTTGAACATTTTATTTTCGGAGTTCCTTTACACCCAGGATTTTTGCAGCGTCTTCTGTTGTTCGAAAAAAATTGGCCAATGTACTACTTCATCTTTCCGCACGTTTTGTACTGGAAGTACTGTATTTGGTCTCCTTTTTTATTTTTATCTAATTGTTTATCTACATTGGTAGAAACAAGACACTCTTTTTTCTTACGGATTCCTTTGTGCTCCTGACATAAACAAAATGCAAAGTCAGTTTTAAAAATCAATAAATTATATTGATTCCTGGGGCTTTCAGAATGAATTTTGTCAAAGGATTCGCGACCGGTGTAAACTTAGTAAAAATCATCTATTTTTTCTGTGAAAATCTATCTTTATAGCTCTTCTGCAATAAAACTGATAAATATGGTCAGGAATTGTTCGCTACAACAAATTCTTCAACTTGTTCTGACATTTGAAGGAACACACAAACTTTATCCTAAATATACAGAAATTTCCTTATAGGCCATTGTTACTTCAAAGTAACAGAACTGTATCATAAAAAAAAAGTTGTTATTAATATTTAAACTCACAACTATAATATACATAATTTTTTATTCGGTAAATACCGACAGAACCACAAATAATATATCAATTGAAAAAAAAGATTTTGCTTGCCTCTACTGCAAACAACTTGCACAACATTTATTTAGTTATTTCAGGTTGATGGTATTAGCAACCATCATGAATATTGGTATTAGTTGTCTTAGAAACATTATAAAATTAAGATATATACGCTATCATTAAAAAAACTAAAATTATTTGGTAGAATGCCGAAAAATTTTCATGTTACCTGAAAGTAACACAGGCCCATAGAGGTTTAAGATTTGCAATACCTCTGATCGTTGATTTTGAAAAATGAAAATAATCATTTTACCAGGGAGGGGGAGGGGGCGCATATATGCGTTTATCAAACGTATCATTTGTTATAATATACAATTAACATTCGGTAAGAATAATAATTGATTGAATTGATTATATAAAAAAGAAAATATTTCGAGACCACGTTGCTTATATTACGGAAAATTAATAGGAGAAAAAAAAGACAAACCCTACAAGAATAATATAATATGTTAAGAGCCCTTCTACAAAGGTAATTTTTGTTCAACTGAATTTTTTAACATTTTACTATTATGCAAGCAACCAATCAGATAAGAAACGTACATATAAACCATCCCACCTCCTTCCAGTTTTTCCTTTGACTATTCGCGTGCTAATAAACGTACGATGCATACGTGTCACGCGAGATCAGTGACCTTGCGTGACTCTTTTTCCTTCTTCATATTTTTTTTTCTTTTCTTCTTTTTTTTTCCTTCCCTCCGTTCCTCAAAGAATATCGTCGAACTTCCGACAAATTTTTCCTCGATAAAAAGTAAAAGGATGTGAATAATAAAATAGAATAAAATTATTTAATCGATTTTAGAAATGATATTTTTTTCATATTAAAAAAAAAAAAACCTTCGGGCACCAATTACGATTACGAAATTTATCGCATACAACTTATAGTTAATTCGTACAATTTTATTCATATCACCAAAATATTTGCTGTATAGTATTTACAGTGCGTTTAAACGAAAAAGAACAAATTTAACGGTTTAAACGGTGGCTCGTGTTGTTATACGCCTAGCGCGTATTTTAATTACCCACGCCCGTTTCAACCCCCATATTTCAAAGCGCGTGTCAACGGTGGTCTCGATGTGTTTCTCACACAAGTCGTTCTATATGTGTGTACGCGTATCATTTACAAGTAAAACGTATGCGTTAGCAAGTTCTAACTAGCGTGCACGAGACGATGCATCGTAGGGTTGAAAAGGAGAAGAGAAGAGAAAAGGACAAAGGTGGTTGGGTGGTAGTAGGTAAACTGCACCCCATCGATAATGACACGCGAGAGAGTCCGTTGGTTGGTTTCAGAGGGGTGGGGGGGGTGGAATTTAAAGAGGACTTTACCTACCTGAGATCCTACCTCCTCAGAAGTCGTGACAAGACTGACGCATGTCTTTACAGTCTTACTTTGATTTACGTTGAACTATTCGACGAGTGAACGTTTCTAAATTTACGATCGTGTTTACATACGGGACATCACGATAATAATCAATACTCAAAAACGAACGTGCTATATTATTTGACATTAATATTAAAAACTTTTATTAAACGCATATATATGCGTTCATAACACTCAAAGGATTAATTGCACGCGTAACGATTTGTTTTGTAACGATAAATATTAAAGAGAAGAATTGGGTAACGCAAAAAAAAAAAGAAGGGTCAGAACGCGTAATAATTTTGTGTATATGTGTTTCAAGTAAAAGAATATAATAATTAACGTTAGGTACGCGTTTTTTTATTTTCTTTTCATTTTATGGTCTAAAGTAGTTAAAAATAAAGTTAAATTATGTTATATACTTATGCGGAGATTGAGAATTTGAAAAAAACAAGGGAATGGCATTTTGTATGGTAATGAATTTTTTGTTTTGCCTGTACTAGGAGGGAGTTCTGGTCCACGTCTTGTATCTCATTTCGCCTATCGATCGTTAAATTTCCATTATGCGATTGCGCCCGAGAGAAAGAGATAGGGAAAGAGTGAAATAGAGAGAGAGAAAGAGGGGGAAAGAGGTAAAGAGGGAAAGAGAGAGAGAGAGACAGAGGACGGGCCGGGGTAAGCCGAATTTACTATTCAAATTCGGCCGACTCACTGCATTAGGGTGAATGTCTGGCAGGCTATGCAAAATGGCGTGACAAGTACAAGAATAGAAGCACGCCGAGTTTTATGAGATCGCGTGATCACTAGCAGCCAACATCGTTCCCACCACCACCACCATCACCGCATGCTCGGCTTTATTTTATCCGATTTCCAGTGTTCTGATTCCGAGCACACTCCTCTTCCAACTAGCAATTCCATAGGACCAGCAACGCGATCTAATGTATTTTTCTTTTTATTTTTATTTCTATTTCTATTTCTATTTTATTTGACTCTTCTCGAGCAACTTATTTCTTTTCGTTTTTGTTTTTGAAGTTATACTTCTTTTGGCGCGTTTTGGAAAGTAAAGTTAGATGCGACCGAAAAATCGACACCATGAAGTTGTCGATATTTATGATGCGCATGTGCGGGCAAAACGATTTCTAATTTACGGCATGAAGTAATTCGTAAATAAATAAATTAGATTGTATATATTAATTAAAACCTTTATCAATGGTATTTAATATCTTCATTTTATTTTATCATATTATCGTCTTTTCGACAAATGTAGAGTATTATATTGGTACGCGAGATAATTGATGTTATTTTTGAGGTTATTGAGGTTATGTTCGTTTTGGTACGTTAAAGAAATATAACTTCTTACGTGCGTATATAAGTACACACACCAGATTTTTTTTATAACTTCTCGTTACTCGACATTAATTATTTAACGAGCGCATTTATTACGTTGGTGCATATGAAATGTCGGATTTTTTTTACATGTCAACGTTTTTCCCCGTTTTCGTTATTTTCTTGTTTCTGGCATAACTTTGTACTGTCCATTGCCAGAGTCACATTTCAACAAAGCAGATTTTCTCAAAAGTGTTCAATTTTTTAATTTTTTTTTAAATTTTGTAATGATATGAATTCAACCGATATTCGTGTAATTTTTATATATGAGTATAAACTTGGTAATAATGCTGCAAAATTTGCACGTAATATAAACCAGGCGTTTGAGGAGAATACTGTTAACAATCAAAAAGTGCATCGTTGCTTTGAAAAACTTTGGTCTCCTGAATTTTCCCTTTAAAAGAAGACCCAAGACGTCTGTAAAAAATGATGCTCTGAAAACATTGGTGGAAATGAATCCAACTTTATCTACAAGGGGACTTGCTTCTAGAATAAAAATTGACTATACAACAATATTACGACACTTTTCTGAAATTGGCAAGATGAAAAAAATGGTTAAGTGGATACAGCACTAATTAACCAAGCAAAATAAGCTTGATCAATTCAACGTATTTTCATCACTATTAGCCTGATTTTTTTAAATAAATTAAAATGTGAAATTTTGCCGCACCTATCTTATTCACCGGACCTTTTGCTAACTAACTTTTATTTTTTTTAACATTTACAACAGTTTTTACGTGCTAAACAGTCTGAAAAAGTTCATATCAGAGTTTATTGATTCTAAAGATCAGAATTTCTTTAAGACAGGCATCTGTGTATTATAATCTCGTTGGGAAAAGTGTATTTAAAAAAATAGAGTTTATTTTGATTAAATAAACAGATTTTGAAAAAGGATACGAAGTTTTATATATTCACTTTAAAATCCGATATTTCATACGCACCAATTATATTATTATTTTATTCGACTCTTCTCGAGCAACTTATTTCTTTCCTTTTTGTTTTTATAACTTCTCGTTACTCGACATTAATTATTTAACGAGCGCATTTATTATTTCTAGCATTTATATTCTTTTAATCGTATCGGAAAGGGGGTTAGTTATTATACTTATAAACGTTTCTTTATTCAAATTATCGGACTTTTAATTTCTTTTATTTCTCTTCCTCTTTTTCTTCTTCTTCCTATTATTTTTATTGTTATTAGTATTTATCGTTTAGTTTAATTTTGTAATTCTTTTTCTCTTTGTTTCTCTTTATCGATGTAATATTATTCTATAACAAAATTATCCTTTTACCGTAAATACGTCTTGCATAACGGTTCGATTTTCTTTTTATTAGAATGTCTATCTACGATGTCTATGATTATGTTAGTCACGAGACTTGTTTAATATTAAAATTGCGTCAGAAAATCCATATTTGTAACAACTCTAATATATAGAGTGTATAAATTGAATTAAACATGAGGAGGAAATATTTTTGCGATTGCGGTCAACGCGAAATGATGCAAAATATTTCAAACATTTCAAAGAACCTACAAAAAAAGAAAAGAAAAATATATATATTTAATAAGTAATAAATTAAAAAAAAAATATTACTCAAGTTACCGATAACACACTTATCTCTAAAACCAAGATATATATTTTAACGATGAGAATAAAACGAAAGAAGAAAAAGAAGAATAAGAAGAATAAAAAGAAGAAGATGAAAATAGTTTGATCAAAGAAGCTTCGGTCTTCAGCTCTATTTCCCCGATCTTTCGTCTACTCCATCCAATCCAGTTTCCCTCGAATCCAAAGACCAGTTTCGTTCACGTTGGCACGTGAGAAGAGAACCAGAGAAAGGAGCAGAAAGGAAGGAAGGAAGGAACTAGCGGGCTGAGGGGGTGGGAGTTGGGAGGAGGATAAGGGAGGATGAACGGGGAGGAAAAAGATGGAAAGAGAAGGAAGATGGGGTGGGTGGGGGGTTGTACCAGGGGAACGTCGACGATAGTGGAATCCATTTCGAAATTGCGAGCCACGTTGCTGGTGTTGGTTCTGCCTCGTCCTTTAACTCTCCTTGGCCAATCCTCTCCTCTTTCTCTCTGCATCTTCAGCATCCCTTCTTCTCGGTGTTCTTGTCTTTCCAACCATCTTCTTCCTTCTTACCTCCTAGGAAAAGTCTTTCTATCTATCTTTCTCTCTCTTTCTTTCTCTTGATTTCTCTGTGTGTTATTTTCTCTCCTTTACTGTTTAACTCCACCCTCGAAAGTCAGAATGAGACACGTCTCGAATACTGATACGCTAGAAGTTAAGTCCTTTTTTCTCTTAAACCGGGATACCAACCACTACGAATAATTCATTTTGCTCGGGTGTCTTTTTTTTTTCTTATTTTTGTTGTTGTTGAATTCTTTTTATTTGATCTTTTTTTCTTTTTTTCGTAATACCTCAACGACATTCTCGATCTCTTCTAGCTAAATTGATTTTTCAGTTGAACTTACTTACATCTATTGCTTTGTTTTTTATTTCTTTTTTTGTTTAACAGTATTTTTAACTCTGAACGTTAGAGATTGAGTTGCCGAAGAAGTCCCAATAAAGGGACGAAACATCCAATTTGATCAAAATAAAGTTCTAGTTCTTTATAATGTCTAATTTTTCCTGCTATTAACATATTTATTAATAATTTTATTTTTGGACGAGTGAAATAACTAATTGAGTATTTTTAACGTTTCGAAGACGAATAAAAAATATGAAAAGAAATAATTGTATTTTATATTTGGTCTTAGGAGTTGTATACTTGTATTTGTTTGTTTTAAAACTTTAGATATTTGATTTACGTATATAAAATATATAAAACACAAGATTAAGATAAATAATTGAATAAACCAAACGTTAATAATTTTTGTTTTAGGCATGCAACGAGTTTACGACCCACGTGATGAATTTGTTGAGGGAACAGAGTCGTACCAGGCCAATAACGCCGAAGGAAATCGAAAGAATGGTTCAGATTATTCACAAGAAATTTTCGAGTATTCAAATGCAATTGAAACAATCTACTTGCGAAGCAGTTATGATTTTGAGGAGTCGTTTCCTCGATGCAAGGTACGATTTTATTATTTAAATAACAACAACGGTCACAATCGTTGATAGAAAAAAAAAAATGACATATTAGGTTGGGGAAAAAAAAAATCCATTATTTTTTCGATGGATGTCTTTAGTGATCGATATCTTGTAAAGTATAGATCAATCGTATTTCAGATTTATGTTCGTTGGAAAGATGACATTTCACATGAAAAATATTCTTTTGCTGATTTTTGTTTGGTCCATTCAGTTGTGAATTATAGGCTGTTAAAAATGGAAGTCAACGGAGAGAAAATTCGGTACATTTTAGTTTTTCTTTGATAAAGGCGAAAATGCAAGCCCAGACAGCTGAAATTGTGAATGGTGTTTATGATCTCAATACTGTACGTGCAAAAAAAAATAAAAAAATGGGATTCGTAAAAATTCGAATCTCTACTGTCAAGAACTGGACCGTTTGAAGCTAGCGATTGACCAGTAACGTCCAAAATTGGCCAACAGAGAGGTGTTGGGTTCCATTAGGACAACGCCAGACCACACACGTCTAAAGTGACTCGCCAGAAACTGTGAGAGCATGGTTAGGCAGTTCTGATGCATCCATCATATAGTTCGAACCTGACACTAAACGATTACCATATTTTTCTTGCATTGCAAAACTTCCTTGGTGATAAGAAATTGACATCAAAAGAAGATTGCAAAAATGTTAATATAATCAAGATTTTTTTCTTATCCAAAATTTATTAATATTATTACTAAGTTTACTCTTAGGGAGGTTGTTTTTTGGACGGGTTTAATTAAGATGAACACTATATTTATCCGTTGAACGTTTCGTCTCTATTTGAGACTTCCTCAGCAACTAAAATTATTTATTATGACATACTATTTTATATACAAATACCAAAAAGAACTTACAATTCATAGCGTTATTTTACCTTGATAGTTATGTTCATAAGT